AGCCTTCTGGGCAGTATACTGTTACAATGCAAATTAATTCGATGATCCGAAAGCAATGACTAGCAGATTCAGTCGAGGAATACCATAAACAGTATTCAGTTGAGCCTCATTTTAACGCCACCGCAGTTCGCAAACAAGCAGTTACACCTTCAAATACAGTTAGATATGCAGCAGGACATGTTTACGACTGGGGAATGAAGCCCAAACTCCCACGGATGGTTAATGAGATATCCACGAGTGTGTTTTATGAACTAGTCCATGAACAGAGGTCACATCATTCTGGGACCGGGGTCCGACGCCAGTGAGTGTGCGTGCGTGCTGGCAATCCGGATTGGTTGAAGGACTACACGACTTGCAATTTCCACCTAGATTATTGAGACCAGACCTACTCCTCACCATCTGTCACCAAGCTTTTTAGTCTAAATGAAAACGGAAAGTGCTGTCTGTAGGCTGACGATAAAAAGCGACACACTATGCCTGTAAGCTCCTGCAGTCGAACTATTTGTACGGCTCCGAAAAATTCGTTTTCAAATTTCTGTGGCTCGGAAAAGTAATCTGAGAGTGAAATAAACACCAAATGATACAACGAGACCAAAAATTGGGGGAACGAAGTCGAAGGTGATCATCGGAAAGGTTGTTATCGACGGGATGTGAACTATCGTTTAGTAGAGGAACGTTCATGTTTTCACAGAGGGGGTAAATGAAGTGGCGAAAATCCGGACTATCGAGAGTAACAGCACACATGCACAAGGGAATACTTACTGCTTCGTACAGATACTGTGGAATCTGAGTAGTTTTTCCGGACCCTGTTTCGCCCTCGATAATGAGCACCTGATGATCAGCGATTGCTTGCAGCAACGCTTCTCGAAATTTGTAGATGGGGAGCGAACGCCTTGCTTCAGCGAGAGTTTCGCGGCGACTGACCGATTTTGTTTTCTTTTCTTCAGAAACGGGTTCCTCTTCCGTATTGGCTCCTGGACGAGTCAATGTCTTCAAAAAGTCAATTTCGTCGTCCAGTACAAGATCAAACTTTGCCTAAAGGCGGGAAAGTCAGATTAGTCAAATTCACGAGAAGGGCTTTGAAAGGGTAGATAACTGCTCTCTCCTTAATTTGATGCTTCCTGGTGGGTTGATATAAATTCTTTGCATCTTCTTTGCATCCTACAGGGACTCATCAGGTGAATGTTGTACAAAAACTCATACCAATCTTATCTCATAATTGAACATTGAATTGGATGTAAGTTAAACGTACATTTGCAAACTAAGGGAGATCAAACGAGGCCCCAGCTATTATAACTAAACACAAGTGCGGAAACTGTGTAGTTTATACGGAGGGTATCGTAATGCGTTTTGCCCATAGATTATGGACAGTACCAGTTCTATGCGCTTGGGAACAGGTGAATCCAAAATGATAAATGCGCGCAGGACAACGTACAGCCAGAGATGAAGGATGGGAAACATTGCATTGAGCGTGCAGTTAGCTGGTTCACATTAGTGAAAGAACCGTTAAGGGCTATGTTCATTCAGCTACAGTATTCTTCCCTAAGTGCCATGTATCGCAACAGGTAGGTCTTGTTTTGACCAACTGTCGAATTAGCCAGGGCAACCGGATAGCCAATGACGAGTCAGGTTGCTCATCTATCTGGTAACCGATTCTCAAAGAAGAACTGATAAGCACCAAAGCACTAAGTAAGGACCTTCCCGTCAGTAAATTCGAGCTCTAACCACTTGGGCTATCTCGCCATGTTGATTGTGCATATTTAGATAAATCCTACTTGCGATCTATATAAGACCATATAATATCTCCACTGGGCGAATTTCCAGTGACTGAACGAATGATATAGCTCCAACACGATTTCACATAAAGCGTTTCGTTTCATGGACGACCAACTCGACTTCTGTCAACAACCTGACGTTGGTCTTCAGAAGAACAGTACGTTCGATATCTCTTCAGCGTATCCAACACTGGTCTACAGATGCGCCTTCGGGTACTGTTAGAAGAACTGCCTCAAAACGAACAAATCCACCTTTCTAACGATTGTCTTGTATACTGAAAACAAGTTTCTACATTTCAGTCTCTCACTAACACCCCAATGAACTGTGAGCTTTTTATATTCTGGTTCGGTTGAATTCCATTTCGCGAAACGATCCATTTGTTTGCAGTAGAACTTCGTCGAAGTTGTTCGTCCTCTCCATTCCGGTGAACTGACGAGTCTAAGAGATACATCATCAAATAGGATATAACAGGTGTCTTATTCAACAAATATGCAATCTAATGGCCTCAATTGTGTGGAAGGCATTCACGCTCATGAAAGATTTCAACCTGGTAAGGGCAGAAGGTAAGAATTAATTGCTGTCTTCAACCAGCGTTGAGGGAAGTTCAATGGGCTCGAACAGCCAGATGGACGGCGGTGTCTCAAAGCAGAAAGATAGTACATGGGCTCACAGACCACGACCTGACCTAAGATGGTCTGGTGAAAAACACAGACACGGGATCTGAAGGCCAACGTAACCGTTGTCGAAAACATTCCGAATGGTGACCTAGACACTGATTTTAATCATATGCTAAGTTTACGACTATCTTTGACTAACACGCTAACGGATGGTCTCTGAGGTCCTGTGTTGCGAATTAGTTAGAAATACTTCGGCGCATCCCTCCCGCATCAGTTTTTTGTTTCATGAGCATCCCGGTTACACTTAGTCTTCATACACAAAATTCGTTCGGGCTGACGTGTAGCAGCCGTCCCGGAGAGACCGGACCATATGGTGGCATGTCGGATTGTTTAGTCCGGCAATCCTTCGAGCTATGATGAAGGGTATCGACACAATATTCACACAATCTCTCCTATCAGATTAATTAACGGGTAGCGTTCTGACCAACCCAGCCTCCTAGCCCTACCGGTTGAAGGTCAGAACAAAAGCCAGCGTAGTGTGAAAGCATCACACTAAATACCGCCAAATTACACTCAGATTTTCGGATCCTAGTTTGGTTGAAGACCCTAATCATTCTGTTGTCTAGTTTTGGGGGTGCAAGTACTTCTAGACCACACCAACCGGGGTACCTTATTTGTTGCATACAACAGGGTGGATAAACGAAAAAGACGCATCTTCCGAAGCCTCTTCAATGCTACCTTTTGACTCCCTTCAGACTCATTTAAAGATCACTCTGTCTAATATCCCAAAAATAGGCATGTCAGTCAGACATCCAGAGTGACCGACAACACATCAGCGTTCACGTCTGTGGGGGGCATGACGGAATCCTAACACCCAAGAAGCGAATATCAATTTAGCGGGAAATTCACGGGCGTCGTTCTGATTCCAAGAGCACCCAAAATTTCCCGCGTCAAGCATGGCGGTTGTTAACACGTCCCGGTCACGACATCGCTGCTTTGAATCTGATAGTGCCCCCGTCCCGAGTTATCTCTCTCTTTGATTCTCGGAGCTATGTGATTAACTAAGAGGTTTGCAGATCTCGAAGTCAAACGAAGTTATTAGTGTTGTTCTTCAAACGTTTCACTGTTCATTGCTAAACCACTTTTTTCGTTTCAGCTCTCAAAGCCGAAGTTTTGGATGAATAAAGCCTAGCTTCCGGGCCCTCAGACTTTTCCACTCCTAGTCTGATTGATGCTGCACTCCATCTCTAGTCGAACACAACAATTTATTCATCCAAAAGTCTTCATTGAACAATGGATCGATTCTTACCTCCTCAACGATTCGATAACAATCCCAATTCTCAAGACCCGGCAGACACCCGGGAGCATTGTTTTTGTACTTTCGCGAACTTCCTATGGTTAATTGCTTCTCATTCACCAGATACACTGAAAACCTTGTTAAGTTACGCTGCCCCTAGTGTTTACCGATTATTCAAAGACTGAAAGAATATGAACCAGCTTTCGCAACCTTGCGAGAAATTCATGTGCAACTGAAAAGTGAAATTTTCGCCCGGCATCATTCGAACACTTGTACGCAGGACGGAGCTCAGAACTTTGTTCAGTTTGTGCAAAAGCTTCGCAAAAGCTTCATTCAACGGTGATAAACCCTCTTTCTAGCTGTGGTCTCATTGCTGTCAAAATCGAACCTCTCACTTCGCTTGAGCATCATCATCATCATCGACAGCATGATACCAGTGTTCAACACCGACGCTTCACTGCGAATTTACTGACCAAGAGGTCTGTGGTTCGAACCTGACCTCTAACTTTTGACTTCCTCTGTCTAGGCTTGGGTAACCTGGCACTACCTCAGCCCTCATGTTTCCTTCTGGTGGCATGTCACTTAGGCACCGAAAGGGTGCTACAGCTGAACGTAAGCGCATCTATTCACATTCAGAATGTATGGTTCAGACCAAGTAAGTAGTAAATTCAAGAGAGGAGCCAAAGGTTAAAGAACGCACAAAACAAGGGGCTCGCCCAAGGGTTTGCTTGATGGTTTTCACACAGGAAAAGAGGAGTAATGACACTGTATGAACAAATAACACTTACTTTGGAACCCTTAACATTGAAACAAGGGGCTCGCCCAAGGGTTTGCTTGGTGGTTTTTACACAGAAAAAGAGGGGTAATGACACTGTATGAACAAATAACACCTACTTTGGAACCTTTAACATTAGAACAACTAAACCTCTTCCCTGATATAACCGAAAGACACTGCGAGCGCTTGTTAATTCGGTAAAACGACACGCTACATCTTGCTCACTTAGAGGTTTCTAGGACAAATCCCGCACTGGCACAACGGAGGAAACAGAAAGGTGATTACGATTTATCAGAAGACCTCTAGGCCTTACCCCAATCAATATGCGCATCAGTTTGAGACCTAATGGTGGTTAAATTCCATAAATTTGTGGACAGGTATGGTAAACTGCGCAATGGAGATGAAAAATCATCTAATTGTTTAAAAAACCGTGAATCTTCATACACCTGACACCAGTTCAGACCATTGAATGACATTCAATGATACCTAGTCCGTTGGATCCAAGAATACTGTTATGAGCCTGTCGCTCGCATAAAGTTATCGATGGAGGTTAATTCCCGGATGCCGCAGTATTGATAGTTGCTCAGAGTGGTGGAGTAGTGTACAGTAGCGATGTTGATGTAATGTTAATTTTTAAAACACCGTAGCACACGGACCAAAAGTGAAAAAAGCCTGACTACATGCTACTGGAAAACCATGTGTAGAACTTACCTCCTTCTCGGATTTATCCCTAGCGCCAAAGGAATACAAGGCAGAGGAAAGGTGCTCTTGTTCCCATCGTTTTCCTTCCTCGTTGACACCTTTTTCCTGGGATTCTTCCTGAAAACTTTCGTCCGGACGCTATGGAGCGTTAAAAAGTAAGAACTGCTCACCTTTTCCTCACTGGGTATAAAATAGCGATTGGCGCTCTCCAATTCACCAGCTTGCTGGTGGGCCTGTGCAACAGCTAAGAGAGTTCGCTTATATTGCAGTTCAGCTAGCTCTCGAGCAGTCAATCTGGATGCAAGGATTAGATGACAATCAGACTTACTCCTCCTGGTCAAAAAATAACTCCTCATCCTCCACTTCACCCTTCAGGTCGGCGAGCTTGTCAGCCTGCCGCTTCCGGAGATATGCTCTCCTGGACTCTTTTTTAAACTCCTCGACGAGTTCCTTTCTGGTCTACCAAATATTTATGAAAAGGATCTGGATTACATACCATTTCACCGGCCTCGACCTTTCGTAGCGCCTCTTCGTATTTTGAGCCACTACCAGAAGTCAACTTTTTAGTACTCTCATGATCTTTGCTGAGCAAGCGCTTCACGAATTCATCCCGTTCTTTAATATCCTTCTCACGGCTTAGCTCTTCCTTTTCGTACTCTTCTAAGCCATCGGACTCTTCGACAACCGTTTCTTGTGGCCTATGACATTACAGAGTGAACCATTTAAACAGATGAATTACGCTTCGCTTCCGCTAGAACTATCACTATCTTGCCGCTGCCGCAAACGACGCTTCTTTGCTGAGGACGACATAGGACGGGTAGGGGCTTTCGCGATGTGATCCGGAGAGGGCAAAGGACTCAATATCTGGATAGGAGCGCTGCAGGTTTACCAAAGCTATGATTGGGTATCTGGTGTCCATGACCTTCGGGAAGGGCTTTGTCAGTTGTGGTGACCGTTCAGATGTCAGGGGCAACAGTGTAGTGTGTGAGTTCGTTTAATCACCGATTGGTATCCAGCATAAAATGACTTCTCGGAAAATGCGACGCTTTCAGTGTTGCTTCTGTATACGCATAATTCTCCATGCTTAGTATGTCTTTCCGTGACTTGGTGTGGGAGAATTCATTAGGTGTGTGATGTTTAGCGCCCATATTTTGCTTTCAACATAACATCATGTATTTTGTCGGTTGCATAACCGTTTTTTTGTTTGGATACACAAAACTACAAAAACGCCTACTTGCACGCAATACAAACGTGTTCAATACCCCGACTCTATTTTCTGATTTCGCCCGCCCTTACGGCGGTCATTCAGGAGTCTCATGAGCTATCTCTGGTGTCAAAGCATTTCTGACTATCTTTGGAATCCGTTATATGTGGGAAATGTTGAGAAAAAGATCTCTGGACAACCGTGATTGGATTGTTGTTTATTCGCTGACCTGGGCCAACGACGAACAATTTTAAACAAAAATTCCCAATGAGTCTGTCCCATCTGACCTCTCTATTTTTGTGTACTCAATCTAGCGTCATCAATTTTATTTCTGCTGAAGTAATCTCTTGTGTAGCCAGACCACTACAGATGAACGAGTTTCCAAGTTCAACACAGCTCCAATCAGAAAACAGTGTTGTAGTGTCTGTAATCAGTTGTCACATTTACCATTCCTCCTGAACTTGAACCACACATTGTAACTGTCGTTCACATTGTATCATGATGTTTGTTTTGATGTTACGAATACACAATTTTCCGGCGCGACCTGCTGACTTCTTGCTGAACGAGCGTATTTGCGCTCCGTTGAACTGGTTGTTGACTGCTAAACCAGTGGGACTAAATCACTGTGTGTGTGCCAACTGTTGAACGTCACAATAACCCCCTGTGACATTTTTTAGTCGTGAATAATTTTCTTACCGTGGAATATATCACGCACGCGGAACCATCTGTGGGAAATTCCGACAAGTGAATATTTCCTTTCGCAGCCAATGACTGCATTTGGATCGGTGTAGCGGACTATTGGTGAGTCGTGAGTCCCCATTTGACTACTCATTCTTTTCCTATTGTGATTTTGTGATTTTGTATTGGTTACTTTGCTTGTTAATTTATTCGAACACGCTGATAGGGTCCTAGTCCGCTAGAGTGTCTAGTAAGATATACGTCAACTTGACGGAAAGTGTGATTCACCTACAATGGATGAGTTTTGCAAGTGGTCGCATGTAGCTATTATAATTAGTGGAATTTCGTGTATCCTACAAAACACGCAGGAGGATTATTCCTATACACAAATTTTCACCTGGCATCCTTTGCTAGGATAGATGGACATGGAAGCCTGCATCCCTGTAACCTGAAAAGATTTATCCAGACTGATCATGATAGGAACACTCACTAACCTCAGGCAATGCGCACGAAGTCGGAAGTACTTTGCGTCTTCGAATAATTTATATTCACAGAATTTCATCAGATTGATAAGAGACACAAATATGACCGGTAATTAAAATTTTCTATGTCAGTATTTTCACTTTTCTCTCGAAGAGTGCCTTATATTGCTGTTGAGACATTTTGTTACGTTTACTGGCAACAAAGTACTCCATCACAGAATACGTCAAACTACTGGCGTTCCACGGTCAACACCGAAGAGGTCTCATATAGCTTGACACTAAAAGTGAGCAGCTGTGTCTAATAACAACCGATAGATCTAACCGTAATTCACGCGAGACCGCTTTCCGTTGTTTTGACTCACAAAACTAAAGTGGCTTCTGTAATGCTATCCAAACGAAATAAATCTCACTAAATTGCATGAGTGAAATGTGGCAACGTGGTGCTCTATACCTAACCAAATTGCGAGATGCACTATATGTCGCTCATGTTGGACATCTAAACCAACGCCTCTCACATTCAGGACTAGCAGGGACACACGCATTTCATCTATTGAAAAGTCAATAGTCCAGCTAAGAAAATGTACCTTTTCAGCCGTTCTGATGGTTCCGTATGTTCCGAAAGGAAAGTTCATGGCCTTCTTTTTTCGCAGTATCCACGGGGCTATTGGCCTTCTAAAAGTAATAAGAGGTTTACTAGTTTGTCCAGGTATCACCAGAGAGTTAGCATGGTAAAAACCGAACTGATTCTACTGTTTCACATATTGAGCGATCGACTTGGAGGTGATAATTTATTAGGGCCGTGGTTACAGTATGTCGTTCTCAAGAAGCGGTTCATATTCTCTCATATCGTGTCGAACATCTCCAACTAAGATAAGACCCCGAATAATACAAGACCTATGATTCCACTCTTGGGTTGATCAGTGTGATTATTCTTTTTACTAGATGTTTTGAAAGCGCGAGGATATGCAACTTCAGTAGTGTTGAGGACAACATGCGGTTCCTTTGAACACCACCCGGCAGCCATTCTGGTATGACTGGTGTAGAACATCTGGAAAGCGGGATTTTCTTCTTGAAGCCCCGTTCCGCCCAATGGCGTTTTCGAGTTTTTGGGATCTCGACAACCGGAATTCGGCAGCCATTCCACCGAAATAAACATTATTACTATTACTCATGAGTTCTCTTAGGTCGAAATGGTGCGGCGGATATATTGAGTAGTCTAGCATTAGCCAATTCGATTTCGTAGATACCACTTTGTGACATATCAAAGCTGCCAGTGTCATAAGCCCGCTTTTTCAAGCGGTCGTTAGCATTTTTCAGTTGGTTGTTGATCACGCTTTGAAAGTGAATTATCCTGAATTGTGAGCAGTCTATTTGCCGGCAATTTACAAGTAGTGGGTTATAGGGTAAGAAATGAATCTTGGAGTCACAGCCAAACACAAATCCAGCCGCATGTATCCGGTGACACCAGCTCATCTATAGCAAACTTCTTCAGTGTTTGCACTTCACCTTTCACAAATGCCAAACGGTTTACTCATAGGGGCGAACCACTCGCTTACCACGAAAGTATACGTAACCAAAGGACAGGCACCTGTGCCTTATATGGTCAGGCTGTTTTAAGGCTTGGGTACGTGTGTCACAGATTAGCAGCTCTAAAGAGACTAGCGCAAATTGAGCGGTCGCATGTGTTCGTGTCGCAATACCGAACGTTGTGGAGACGCCAGAACAATGCAGCATGCTGCGCAGTGACAAAGCAAACGTGTTCCTTTATACTGTAACGCTGGTACAAGCCCAAATTCGCAACGTCCCGCCAGGAGAGTCAACACAACACCTGTCTCGGTGAAACCAGCCCTGCCTGGTTGTAGATGTTTGGAGCAGTGAGGGATTGTCGACTTTGTCTGCTAAAAACTTACGCACTTCGTGCAACGGTTTTTTGCATTGCAGAAGAGTTAATCAAGTGACCAAGTAGTTTTATTTTGGCCGTTGGTTTACAGGCGGTCGGTCGTAAGAAGTTTTGTCATAAGATCGTAAACAAGATAGTTAGGGATGGTTAACGGACGGTCTCAGTAACCCAGGCGAATTCGGACTGATCAGTCGGTCCATTTCCACAGCTCACCATCAGAAAATATATTCAGCCTACTAGTCTCTTCTTTTTCCTTAATTTTCCTCGGTTTTCGGGCTTACCCGTGTCTTTTGTTGTGCAGCCGCTCATAAAGCAAAAGCACTCGTGATTTTTGTCGGCTGCGGGCAGAAGAAGTACACAATTTTCCTTCGTTTATGTGCTTAATGTTCTTGCAAGAGCTACGAGAAAATGTGACCATGCAGCCGCCAAATTTTCAGAGCACATCTGTAAAGCCATGACTAAAAGTTGCTCAGTGATCATCGTAAAAGTCCAAAAGTAAATACGTCACAAAAATTATCGATATTTGCTGTTTAAATTTCGGGTTAGAGCTGACCATAATGCTTTCCAATGTGAATGTGTGTAAAAAAACTCAATCACGGCGAAGTCTCCATTGGCGCAGTAACTTTCTTCGCCTCAACTTTGTATTCGGTAAAAACAGCGTTTAATTGTTCGTCCACAAACCTCTCCACTGTTTGCAAGTAAAGTAGGTGCTAAACAATCTGCTTTTTTAAGTTTGTGGGACCGTGTCTCATACTGCGGTCTGAGTGACGGACACCACAGAAATACTTTGCACTTATGCGAAAACTTTCCAAGCCCATTTTTTCAGTGATGCCGTATTTTTACCGTTTCATTAATAAAAAATCCTGCGGCTACTGCCAACTTCACTCACCTCGGCCTGCTGACCGTCACTCCCTTAGTTCAAAGGAAGATTGAAGGCTTCCTATAAACTACTAAGGCAAGTTTTCCTTGTAGGCATCCCAACGCTCCTGAGGATTCGAAGAAGATTCGGAACTCGCTTGAGTCGTGCAAAGCAGACATTAGGCTCAAGCTATCAGTATAGCCGCTAGATCCCCGCAGGCAAATTCGAAATGTTACTGGTGATGACTATTAAGCATGACATACGTATCATCAACCAAGTATCAAATAAGTCATTTCTGAAACTCTGCCGGCAATATGCGTTTAATTTTATCTTCATTTGGCTTTGGTTGAAAGAATTTCATCATTCAAACATTAATTCGTGAAATTTACTGGCAGATATGAAGACACAAGCACCTTTTCTAAAGATCTTGAACCGCAGACAACGGAACTGAAGTAGATTTAGAGAACCACTGTGAATGCTCAATGCAAAAGATACAGAAAATGCGCCGAGGAACCCGGAAAGCAGCCAAGCAAACGGAAAACAGTGTTGGATAATTTGACTTCCTTTAGAAACAA